CTGTTCTGCTTGAATTAATATATTCAGGGTACAATGAAATCTCAAGCCTATCAAGGTGTTCTGGAGTAAAATACACTACAGTGTCAGAAAGCTTGGTCACAGATAACGAGTCCTCCAACAGGATTATGAACCAAAAACTTCTACCAAAGAGCTGAAACATGACATCTAGAAGGAACCCTTTAAACCTGAGACAGATGGAGCAGTTATAATATAGTTTAAATGATTACTGTGACTTATTTTCATTTGTTGTTTTTTCATTTTTATTTATTTATGTTTTACTACTTCTGTCATTTTCAAATTATTTCAGAAAACTATTGCGGGTTTTCTCTTTAAGGACACAGATCTATTCACCTCTGCACATCATTCATGGAGACGTCTGTAAGCCTAACTTTGTATGCCATGGGTGTGGATAGTTGCTGGTGGGTCCCAGGATTGCGGATTCAGAACTTTAATGCCTCTCCTGTTGGCAGGCCAAGGTAAACTCCTTGGCGTTATGAACCTCTTTAGAAATCACTTGTCAGCCGCCCGATCAGATCAACCAATGGCGCGGGTTCTCTGYATGCAAAGAGTCGAACGGTCCGACCCCAATCTGTCACAGCCCGTCACAGGGTCCTGACCCACGCTCAGGAAATGGAATTCCCCGACGTTTGTGGCACGGCGGTGCTTTAAACGCACCCGAAATCTCCATCTCCATGAGACTGCCCACTTTTAGCACGTTCAAAACAAACTGTTATTTAATGACTGTATGGTTTGGCAGAGGATCGCTTCCCTTTGACTCACACACTCCGCTTTCACAAAGCTCCAAGGGTTTTAGGAGCGTTCACATGGTTAGGAAAGAGAGCCACCATTATTCTTCTCATTTAAAAAGCCTTGAGTTGCTGTTGCGTAATCTTCTTTTCCTTCCAAGAGGGATGCTGTTGGCATTAGCAGCAGTTACCTTGGTGAAAGCAAAAAAAAGGCCCTTCTTGAATGAATTATTTAGTTTATGTAACTGCAATCAAAACACAAATTCTTATGCTGTAACTAATTCACAGCTCCTTAAAGCATCCTCTGGCTCTTCTTGTCGAGTTAGGAAGGTAAAAGTATTTCCGAGTGAAATAATAATTTGGATTTGTTTGTTCTACCTGCTTCCTTTTTGAAATCAGCACAATAGAACAGCCTTGTTTCTCTTCAGGCCCCACACATTATTCTTCAGCTGCGTTTGAAACAAGTCTCCGTCTCAGGCATCTCTCCACTGAGCTGAAACGCTTCAGGCATCCAGCCAAATCCTCTGGCAAAGTCAGCAGCTCATTTTTGATGTGTGGTGGGATATGTGTTTTTTTTTTTTTAGTTTTTTCCTCTCCATGTTGTGCAGCAGGAAAACACAAGTGTTATTTTTTTAAAGTTAAAAGTAAAAGTTAGCCAGGCTCTTTGGTAACTTTCGAGGGAGAAAGTTGCCAGTGGATGTAGTCCAGTTTTCTCTTTTGTAAAATAATATTTAATTTCATCAGGACACAAAAATATCTCTTAGGTGGGAGATTAGACGGGTGAACAGATTAAGAGATGTGTCAAACTTAAAGCTCATTAAGTATTTACCTTTGGGGTTGAATAAAATACGTGTTAATAGTTTTATGGTTTCTCTTTGTTACGGTCTTCTCCTGAAGGCTAGCTAACTCTCAAACCAAGAAATTAAGTTTTGAATTTTTTTGAAATCTCGGATTTTGGTGTGGAAAGAGCATCACAGAATCAACTTTAATTATCTTTTGCTGCATTGTTTTTGTATTTTAAAATAAATTTGGATTATTAGGAAGGATTTTTTTTACCCGATTAGCTGAATTGTGATAAAATATATCTTTAAGATATTACACATGTAAAAGTTGTTGATAAAATGTCATATTTTGTCTTTATTCATTTGTATGTTCCAAATGTCACATAAAACATGATTTGGAAAAAATTATTTTCTATTTCTAAAAGAATAATTTGTTTTATAACACTTCTTCCATTAATATTGACAGATATTGGCCCTTTGCTTGGATCAAGCTTTGACTTTGACATCCCTGCAGTATGGCAGAGAGAAACATTTCAATTTAAAAGCCTTGAATTGCTTGTAATCCATGTCACCCTACACCTTTCATGCCAGTTTTAAAGTAAAATGGAGGACGTTATAACTGATTAGGCCAAACCTTGAGAAGAAAAATCACAAGTGTGATCTGATACTGTCACGCTCAGAATGGGTGTTGTGAATGACTCTCAGCTACTAYATCATATTTTAGCTCAAYATCTGTAAAACTGGCTGATTTACMATCATGTTTTTGTTTTCTAAGGTCAGTCATCTGCAGACATCGTAAATTGGGTTGGCTCTAAATTATTAGTAAAGGTACATATATTTAGTCTTTCCTGATAGTTTATTATGACCCCCACACGCGAAGCGTGAGCGGTAATCATATTGTTTTCGTACGGTTTATTTTTTTTAATTTTTTTTATTTTTCAGTGATTTTTGGTCAACCGTAGCACAGAAACGGTTTCACCGATCAACATGAAATTTGGCAGGACTGTAGAAGAGTCTGACCTACACTGCGCCAGCCAACGGTTTTACGATAGACCCCATATTTGAGGA